TCATGTACTGTATTCCCTGTGGAGCTGAATGAGAGAAAGGAAATATATAAAAGTAACCCATGGAATAAACAAGCTAATCCATTATCCCTGATTAAATTTGTCCAGTGTCTTTTTGAAACCTACCGTGGTGGAGTCCGTCACTACATCTTGTGGCAGTAAGTTCCACAGTTTAACTGCTCACTGTTTATAGTCATTTTTTTTTCTCACTCAATGCAGTTTCTTTGGATGAACCTGGATCCTAGTGTTATGAAAGAGGGAGATACAGTATAGGTCTCCCTCTGCATTTTCTCCAGATTGTGCATCATGTGAGCAACATAGTGTACACACCTATATCTCCATCTTATTCCCCCTTTTCCTAAGGTAGAATATCCCAGGTGTCATAACCTTTCTTCGCAGGAGGATTGTGCCCACCCCTTGATCATCAATGTTCTTCAGAGATCTTTTTTTCCCCCTTTCTAAAAGTAGTTCAAAACCAACCAACCTTCCTCTCTCCCTCCCTTCTTTCCCTGGATAGCATCCTACTGGAAACATTGAGGGCTTAGCCTTTGTCCCAATAGGCTTTTGAATCCATGAATCTCCTTGGCAGGGGAAGGGATGCAGAAGAGGGTGACAATAGGAGGAGCAGGCAGACAGGCTGGCTGGCTGGAGGCTCAAAAGAGCTACTTAAAAACTTGCTTGGTGCAAGAGATATACACTTGAAGTTAAACAATTCCGAGCCAAGGAAATTTTCTGTTTGCAAGAATTTATTATAAAATGTTCAGAACCCAACATTTCAGAATAGTATGCAATGGCAATAAAATATGTTGGCCCAAATTCAGTTTGCAATTCCAGCTAGAGTAGACCATTGATGGTTTATTCAGCTGCCGATGCAATGGCCAGAATATGATTAATTATGACTTCCAACATGACTCCCTTGTAGAGATTGGCAGGAACCTCCGATTTGGCGGCTTGTGCTGATTTGTTGCCACAAGTTAAGAAGCAAGCACAGGTATTTGCTGTCTCAGATCAATTATGACACAGAATGCAGTAGCAAATGCCTACACTGACTTCTTTTTAACTCATAGTAGTTCTCCACTGAAATTTACACCAGGGCAGCCTCGTAATAGGGTTCTGACCAGCAGGTGTTCTCTAGTTGTGACTAGCATTTGGATTTAAGCCATAATGTATGAAATGTAATATCCATATGGACCAGGAAGTAATGGTAGCTTGGACGTCAAATGGGAATGTTTCCAACATGGATCGGAAACTGCAAATCATTTGAAATTTTGAGGGAAGCACGTTCCTCTCACTCAGTGCTTCAGCATGAAATGCACATGGACCAGGAAGTAATGGTAGCTTGGACGTTAAATGGGAATGTTTCCAACATGGATTGGAAACTGCAAATCACTCTGTGCTTCAACATGAAATGCGCTCTCAGAACAACTGTGGAGTGGACAGGAGGTGTAGGCACCAGCAGAATAGCCTGTCCATGATCTCTAGAGACAAATAGGTTTGTTAGGGAGAAGGTGATCTCTAACATTGCCAGACCCCAGGTTGTTCAGGGCTGTATAAACTAACAGTAAACCAAAGGCACAACGGGTGCACTTAGTTTAAGGGAAGAAAGAATTTGTGTTTATTACTAGGACTGAACAGAGCACGGTGTACTTCCACACCAAAATCCAATAAAAACTTAAAGGACATGGCAAGATCATCCTTTTGCTGCTTCTGCTGTCAAGCAAGTGGGAGTCAGGAGTCCTTTCAAATGTGCCATGAACATCTTAAATCCAGAGATCTATTAGTCAACTTCAATCTAAATATTCATTCTCTCCTTTCATCTTCCACCTTCCCTGGTGTGAGTCACAACTAAATACTCTAGGTACTCCCTTTTATTAAGGTCCAGAAAGAAGGTCTTGTGCTTATTGAACATTTTCCTTGATTAAGGGAAAATGTGGGGGAGGTTCAGAAAAGGGTATTTGGGGTCATATATTGGTTGAAATAGGGAGGTGTCATGCAGACTTTAATTGGGTAAGTTTAGGTCACGTTTAGTGCAAAGAGCTTTCAGGTTACACCAGAGTATCCAGGGTTTATTTTGTGAGTTTATTTATTAGGCAGAGGGGAAGCACTTGAAGGCAAAGTTATACTTCACTGGAATACCAGATGGTCAGTTTTTGACCATTTCATATCATAACACTTAGCCTTGAGTGCTTGAGAATGTTTACTTGGTAGCCAGTCAGTGATGTTTGTTTATCTAGTGGGACTGTATTTACTCCTCTCAGCTAATTGTCAGCAGACTTTGCATCCATCTGGATTGTTTGATTCGATTCCTTTGTCGCACAGAGGACCCACAAATCTCCAGGCAGATGCATCCAAGGTCGAAGTGTGCAGCTAGTGACAATGTCGGTGTCTGACCTGAAGATGTGGAGGCAGCATTTCTTTGAGTACCAAATGCGGGGGGGGGGGGGTCAGATGCAGAGAGCTGTTCCTCTCACATCCTGCTTGTGGTTTTTCCAGAGACATCTGATTGACCTCTGTGGGAAACAGGTTGCTGGATCTGGTTGGCTTTTGGGGAGCGCTTTCCAAATCAAAGATAGGATTTGCTTTTGCTGTTGTTAGGCTTCCGCTGTGCCTGGCTGAGCAGAGCTTAAGGAGTTTTGATGAAACAGGGACGGGCTCTACACCAAAAGAAATTTAGAGAGCCATTGCAATGATGGTTAAGAGTGTTGGAGTGGAATCAGCAAGTCAAAGTTCAAGCTTCTTCTTAGCCATGAAATGGCACAGATGATTTGGAGCTAATCAGCTGGCCTGGCCCGATATATTCATAACACCTAGAGCTCCTTGAAGACAAGACAGGATATCAATTAGATAGATAGATAGATAGATAGATAGATAGATAGATAGATAGATAGATAGATAGATAGATAGATA